CGCGAAGCTCGTCGCCGCGGGCATCCGCCGCGTCGCCGAGGCGAACGCGCAAATGTCCGCGCGCGCGGCCGAGGCCGGCGGCGACGCCGTCGAGGAGGACGCGGCGTCCAAGTCGTCGGGCAGCAGCTCGCCGAGCGCCCGGAGCGCCGAGTCCGAGGATCTGGACAACCCCTTCGCGACGAGCTACGGCGCGTCGGACCCGCTCCAGGGCTGGGTCCTCGACGACTTCCCCGAGACCGCGGACCAGGCCGCGGCGCTGGAGCGGGAGCTCACGGGCTACGAGGCCGACGTCCTGGCGCCCACGCGCTGGGACTACGCGTCGCCGCTGGCGCCGCCGGCGCCGAAGCCGCCGCCGCGGTGGCCGGGGCTCCCGCCCGCGGACGAAAGCGGCGACGAGCCCGCGTTCGTGCCCTCGGGCGCGGACCTCGTGCTCTTCCTCGGGGTCGGCCAGGACGACGCGCTCCGGCGCGCCCTGGGAAGACGCGTCGACCCGCTCGCCGCCGACGAGGCCCCCGTGGGCTCGCCGCGCGACGACGAGCTCACGGGCGGCGCGTCGGGCGACGAGGCCGAGCTCCCCGGCGAGTACCACCTCGACTGGAACCGGCCCAACTACGACGCGGCCTGCAAGGCTAGGCTCGTGCCCGTCGAGGACCCGTCGAACCCGGCGCCGTGCCTGCCCTTCCAGATCGTGACGCACGACCACGAGGAGCCCGCGCTCCGCGAGTACCTCCGGCGCTTCGGCACGGTCCGCGACGTGCCCGGCGCGGAGCTCCTCACGCAGGAGGGCACCTTCGGCGCCGTCGTGCCCATCGTCGACGCGCTCCTCAACGAGCGCGCGGCCAAGGCCAGGGCCGACGCCGCGGACCGCGCGGCGAAGCGCGAGGCCTTCGAGGCCGCGGTCGAGGGCCTCGAGGCGCGCGTCCCCGACGCCGAGGCCCAGGCCGCCGCGGGCCGCGCCGCCGCGGACACCTACGAGCACGAGGACAAGAAGAAGGTCGAGGACGGCCGCGGCGCGGCCGAGGCCGCCGCGGCCGCGGGCGAGGCTTTGCTCGCGGCGCTCGTCGGCGACCTCGAGGCGACGAGGGCCGCGGGCCCCTTCCCCGCGCCCGTCGAGCCCGTCGACGACTCGCCCCTGGGCCGCGCGAAGCCCCTGGGCGTCGACGTCGCGCGCGTGCTCGGCCGCTGCTGGGGCTACGCGGAGGACGCGTTCCTCGACGGCGCCAAGCGCGCGTTCCGCGCGCTCCGCGAGGAGCGCGGCGCGGCGACGTTGGCGAACTTCCGGCTCCGCGTCGACTTCGTCGCGTACCTCGCGCGGCCCGACGACCGCCAGAAGACGTACGACGCCTTCGTCGACGACTTCAACAACTCCATCGCGCCGGCGATGCGCTTCGAGGACGAGACCAAGGCCGAGCTCCATCTACGGGTGGAGGAGGTGCGCGCGGCGCTCTGGACCATCGTCGAGAAGCGCAAGGACGAGGCCGTCCAGGTCCACGCGGACCAGAAGGCGAACGGCGCGCTCGAGCACCGCGTCGACGCCGCGCTCCGCAACTACGCGTGCCTCGTCCAGCTCGAGGTGGACCGGACGCACGCGTCCGCGGCGTTGCTCGTGGACTACTACACGGCGCGCTACCCGACGACGTCCATGCCGCCCGTCGGCGAGGGCGCGCCGCCGCAGGAGCCCGAGCCCGCGGCGGCCGACGGCGAGCTGCCCTACGCGGCGCCCGCGGGGACCTGGGCCGTGGACGGCGGCGGCTCCCTCGCGCGCTGCTTCGCGAAGCTCGTCGTCGAGAAGAAGGAGGAGGAGGCCGAGAGCCGGCCCGCGTCCAAGAAGGGCAAGCGGAGCTCGTCCGCGTCGGGCAAGGACAAGCAGCCCAAGCGGCCGAGCAGCGCGTCGAAGCGGCCGGGCACGAAGGACGGCAAGCGGCCGACGAGCCGCGGGTCCAAGGCCTCGACGAAGAAGACGGACAAGGACTCGAAGGACGACGACGACAAGGGCCCGGACGCGCTCCTCCACGTCTTCGCGGGCGACGACGGCCGCGACCCCCTGCCGCCGAACGTGCTGCCGGACCTCGGCGAGCCCTTCGCTCTGGCGCCGCCCCCGGAATTGGACGCCAAGGGCGACAAGGGCAAGAAGGCGCCGCCGAAGGAGGACGCGCGGCGCGCGTCGATGAAGAAGGACGCGGCCAAGGAGGACGAGGCGCCCGCGGACGTCCTCGCCGCGGCCTGCAAGCTGGCCCTCGAGTACGCGGCGAAACTGGGCGCGCCCGTCGAGGTGCCGCCGCTCGCCGCGGGCGAGCCGCCGGGCCTGCGCGAGGCCGTCTGGCAGCAGGCCGCGCTCCTCGCGGCGCGCGTGGACCGCATCCGGCGCAGCGCCGCGGCGCACAAGCTCCAGCTCGAGACGCGCCACGAGCAGATCTTCGAGGAGATGGCCCAGTGGATCGAGGCGCGCGTCGACGGCGAGCTCAGCGTCGTCGAGGAGGTCGTCCGCCGCGTGCAGGCCATCATCGAGGAGGAGCGCTGCATCGAGCATCTGATGGTCATCGACGGCATCATCCTGCGCATCAACCCCAACGTGCGCCTCGTGCCGCTCTCCGAGTGCCTCGAGTGGCGGACGCACCCCCGCGCGCACCAGCTCATCCTCCACCCGGAGCTCTGCGACCTCCTGCCGACGCCGCCGCCGGACGCCGTGCCCTACGACCTGCCCGCGGACCACTTCTCGCGGGCCCAGCTCCGCGACCTGCGGGAGAAGCTCGAGATGGCCTTCGTCGCTTTATCGCAGTCGAAGGACCACCTCCCGCCGCCGCCCGAGCCCGAGGTCCCGCCGGAGCCCGCCAAGCCCGCGCCCCCGCCGCCCGCGGAGGGCGACGAGCCGCCGGCCGAGGGCGCCGAGGCCGCCGACGCGGAGCCCGCCGCCGAGGAGGCCGCCGACGCGGAGCCGGCCGCGGAGACGCCCGCGGCCGAGGAGCCCGCCGCCGCGGAAACCCCCGCGGCCGAGGAGCCCGCGGCCGAGGAGCCGCCGGCCGCCGAGGAGGGCGCCGAGGCCGCCGCCGCGGAGGAGCCCCCGGCGGACGCGGACGTCGCGGCGGAGCCCGAGGCCGAGCCCGAGGCCGAGCCCGAGGAGCCGCCGGAGCCCGAGGAGCCCGCCGTCGAGCTCCCGCCGCCCGTGCCGAGCGTGACGCGCGAGGCCCTCGTCCACATCCTCCGCAAGGCGAGCTTCGACTGCGTCGCGCTCCCGCCCTCGTGGCAGAACAAGTCCAAGTTCGAATTCGAGGACATGGCCGGCGAGCTCGACCCGACGCAGTCCGGCGTCATCGAGATCGAGGCCGTCATGGACTACCTCGCGGCCGTCTAGGGGGCTAAGGGCGCTTGGAGCATCTCCGGAGGTTAGAGCCAGCGGTGCGCGCGACAGTGCGCGTCATCGAGTTTGGCCCTCGCCGCGTCGAGGGCAGCTTGGGCGAGCTGGACCTCAGCCTCGGCAGCACGGAATGTGTTGTGAGTGTGGCCCACTGCTGATCGATCGCGAGGAGGCTTCTTGCGCGAGAAATCGAAGAGGGTCGGGTTTCGACTGTCGCGCTCGTAGTCGCACGCGAAAGAATATCGGTGCGCATGACCGTCCTCCAAGGTTGAGAGGATTCGCGACGCGTTATAGTGGTGAAAGTCGCACAGCCCACCGAGGTTGTGGTGTTCTAATTCATCCCACTCCTCCTCGTCAGAGTCATCGTCTTTGAGATTCTTGAACAAATTCCAGCGCAACGAAAGGGAATTGATTTGCTGATTAGGCACGTTGATGTCCATATCACACGACACATCTAGTCTACGATCGTTGTCTGCGAAGCGTCTCGATTCGTGGCTGCGACTGTTTCCTTCGCCCTCCATGCAGCACGTGTCTGCTAATGGCGCTAAAATCAGGTCCCGTAGCATGAAGACGCGAACATCGAACACGCGATCGCCAATATCATCGCCAGGCAGATCAACTTTCAGCGGCACGTAGACTTCTTCTGGGAAATTTGATACCAAAGCGCGTCCCAACGGGATGACTTTGGTCGCAATGTGACGCTTGATGAAAGTTTGTGAATGCGGGACTTCGGGCAAAGCAACTCGAAGATCAGTAGGTCGTCGACCATCTGCGCTGGAGTTATCAAAATTCGTTTCGTAGACCTCGACGAAAAAGAAATCGCACCCCTCTATGTAGAGCTGCTTCGGCATCCAGTCTGGCCTCCAGCTCCAGGAGGTCTGCCACATGTCAGAGTCGTCGTCCGCGCCCGAGGCCGCGCCGCGCCGCGGTCGCCACGGGAGGCACTGCAGGCAGATGCGCCGAGCATCTCCACCGAGGCGCACGAGCTCCGCGACCGCCTCGGCGTCGAGAGGAAAGCGCCCGAGCCCGCACGTGGCTAGCCGCGGCGTCCAGACGCGCTCCAGCAAAGTCGTCTCTCGCAGCGACGTATTCGAGCAGCCGACCTGGAGCACCGTCTCGACGTCGAGGCAAGTGAGAACCTCAACGATCACATCGGTGGGAAACGCGTCGGACATCGCGCGCGGTCGATGCGAGCTAATGGACTCGCGCACGCATCGAGGAGCGCGTCGTCGGGCAGGCGCATGAGCGAGACCGCGCCGCTTCTTCGCCTCGGGCGGCGCCTCGGGCGGCGCCTCCGGGGCTGCCGACGAACCGAATAGGTATTCACGGGCCGCCTGCAGCATGGTTCGAGGCGTTCTAGCGGTGTTGCGTTTAAAACATGGGCAGCCCGTCGACTTGATTGATATGGTCAATGTGGGTTCACCGCAAAACTTGACTTTCCAAACGGCAGCCCCTGATTGATAGAATAATATTATTACACCGCGTCGCTGCAGCGAGTGGCTGCTGAGAAGACCGTCGGCTGTCATCGGCGTCTTTAATAGAAGCCAATGAAGCTCGCGGCGCTCGCAATCGCGCTGTCCTGCACGAACGTGCAGGCCAACGACATCATCCTAGATGGCAGCGGCACGACGAACCCGTCGAAGTTCTATTGGGAAATTATGTCGCTCTTCGAAGCGCGCGCCAAGCCACCGGTGAAGATGACCTACCGCGGCGTCGGCTCCAGCATCGGCCAGTACGAGTTCATGGGCGAGGAGAACCCCGCCGGGGCCTACGTGTCCTACAACGACTTCGGCTCCGGCGACATGCCCTTCTCCACCGAGGACCGGCAGACGCTCCTCGACAACGGCGTCACGGTCTTGCACGTGCCGTTCAACCTCGGCGCCATGTCCTTCTTCCACAACGTGCCGGACTCGACGCTGCCTTCGACGGGCCTGAATTTGGACGCGTGCATCATCGCGGACATCTTCAACGCGGTCATCACGACCTGGGACCACGACGACATCATGGCGATCAACCCCGACTTCTCGCCGCCGTCGGGCCAGCCCATCGTCGTCTACCACCGCACCCACGGCTCGTCGACGACCAAGGGCATCACGCAGTACCTCGCCGCGGCCTGCCCGGAGAAGTGGACACAGGTCGGGTCGACCATCGAATGGCCCGACGTCACCGTCGCCGTCGAGGGCTCGGGCGAGATGTCGTCGATGATCGACGCGACGGAGTACTCCATCGGCTACATCGACAGCGGCCACGGCCGCGACGACGGCCTCAGCGAGGTCGAGCTGAAGAACTTGTACGGCACGTACCAGTCGTCCGCGGAGGCCATCGCCCAGGGCGGCGTGCAGGCGGCCGCGGAGGAGGCCATCGCGCTCGGCGTGCTGCCCACGGACCCGTCGGCGGACTTCAACAACGTGTCGCTCCACAACATGCCCGGCCAGTACACGTGGCCCATCGTCGCCGTGTCCTACCTCTACGTCAACCAGAACCAGCTGGACTCCGGGTCCAAGGGCCCGCTCCTCTACGCGTTCATCAAGTACATCCTCTCCGAGGACGGCCAGGCGCTGCTCGGCGACTACAACTTCGAGGCCGCGCCGGCGGACATGCTCGACATCTCGCGCGCGGCGCTCGACATGATGGACCTGCCCCTCGCGTCCGACAGCTCCCCCAAGTGGACGTTCGAGAGCAACACGACGAAGGGCGGCGGCCAGGAGGACTACGTCATCTCGGCCAAGCGCCGGTCCTGGTTCGAGTACGAGCTCGGCGAGATCGAGTCCGAGATGGCGACGGCCGACGACCTCGCGACGCTCGAGGCGACCGTCGACGAGCTCGCGGCGCTCGTCCGCTCTTCGGGCCTCATCGCGCTCGACGGCTCCGGAACGACGAACCCGTCGAAGTTCTACTGGGACATCATGTCCCTCTTCGAGGCCCGCGCCAAGCCCCCGGTGAAGATGACCTACCGCGGCGTCGGCTCCAGCATCGGCCAGTACGAGTTCATGGGCGAGGACAACGGCTACGTGAGCTACAGCGACTTCGGCTCCGGCGACATGCCCTTCTCCACGGAGGACCGGCAGACGCTCCTCGACAACGGCGTCACGGTCTTGCACGTGCCGTTCAACCTCGGCGCCATGTCCTTCTTCCACAACGTGCCCGACTCGACGCTGCCGTCGACGGGCCTGAATTTGGACGCGTGCATCATCGCGGACATCTTCAACGCGGTCATCACGACCTGGGACCACGACGACATCATGGCGATCAACCCCGACTTCTCGCCGCCGTCGGGCCAGCCCATCGTCGTCTACCACCGCACCTACGGCTCGTCGACGACCAAGGGCATCACGCAGTACCTCGCGGCCGCGTGCCCGGAGAAGTGGACGCAGGTCGGGTCGACCATCGACTGGCCGGAGGTCACCGTCGCCATCGAGGGGTCCGGCGAGATGTCGTCGAGCATCTCGTCCACGGAGTACTCCATCGGCTACATCGACAGCGGCCACGGCCACGACGACGGCCTCAGCGAGGTCGAGCTGAAGAACTTGTACGGCACGTACCAGTCGTCGTCCGAGTCCATCGCCCAGGGCGGCGTCCAGGCGGCCGCCGAGGAGGCCATCGCCGAGGGCGTGCTCCCGACGGACCCCTCCGCGGACTTTGCGGACGTGTCGCTCCACAACATGCCCGGCCAGTACACGTGGCCCATCGTCGCCGTGTCCTACCTCTACGTCAACCGGGACCAGTCCGGCTCGGGCGAGAAGGGCGCCCTCCTCTACGCGTTCATCAAGTACATCCTCTCCGAGGACGGCCAGGCGTTGCTCGGCGACTACAACTTCGAGTCCGCACCCAAGGACATGCTCGACATCTCGCGCGCGGCTTTAGACATGATGGTGCTCCCGAGCGCCGAGGACGGCTACCCCAAGTGGAAGTTCGAGTCGAACACGACCAAGGGCGGCGGCCAGGAGGATTACGTGATCTCGGGCAAGCGCCGGTCCTGGTTCGAGTACGAGCTCGGCGAGATCGAGTCCGAGATGGCCCTCGCGGAGGACCTCGACGCGCTCGAGGAGAAGGTCGACGCGATGACGTGCTCCTGCTCCGGCGAGGACGACGACGACCACGACAAGGACCGCAAGAAGATCGGCCTCATCGGCGTCCTCGCCCTCGTCATCGCGCTCATCGCTTTGGGTGTGGCGACGGCCGCGTTCCTCAAGGTCCAGGCGCTCGCGGCGCCGCCGCCCGCGCGCGTCCCCGCGAACGAGGACGCGGGCGAGATCTGCCTCCCGGCCATCAAGCCCTCGACCCAGGGCTACGGCGACCTCGGCGCCAGCGGCAACAACAACGACGTCTAGGCGCGTCGCCCGCGGACCGCGCGCTGCGGCCGCGCCTTCAGACGCCGCCCTCCCGCGGTCTCGGAGCGCGCCCCCCACGTTAACACAGCGGGTCGCTTATGGTGCCCAGTCCGCGAGCAGGGCGAAGGCCGCCGCCTCGCAGACGTGGAAGAGCGCCGTGCCGCAGGCGACGTCGTAGCGCACGTCGGCGATCTTGCAGCCGAGGCCCGCGACCGCGCACGCGAGCCCCGCGCCGCAGAGCCGGTTCGGACGCCGCATGCGGAGAAACCCGGCGACGGCCATCGCGAGGATGAGCGGCTCGAGGGCCACGGGCGCGTCCGACGGCCAGCGCGCGGCCCACGCGGCGACCGTCGCGGCCACGCAGGGGACTTCGAGCCGCGGAGCCGCGGAGGACGCGAGCCGCGCCGCGAGCGCCGAGACCATCCATTCCATGGCGCGGTTGTCCAGCTTCCAGGCCGCCTGCGTGCGGCTGCCCCACCACGCGTAGGACGCGGTGCCGGTGCATATGAGGGCCCAGCCGAGCAACCGCGACGACAATTCCCGCCGCGCGTTTACGCGAAAGCCGGCGGCGACGAGGAAGGCGGACGAGTGCGCGTTCCACGGTCTCAGTAGGAACTCGCCGGGCCGCTCGGCCTCCGACGACGACTTCGCCGCGCACCCGTGCGAGCACCGGTCGTCGCGCAGCGGTCCGAGACGATGCCAGCACTGGTCGTCGCACTCGTGTTGGAGGATGGCAAACGTGATCACTGGGATGATGAGACCGACCAGCCCACACGTTGCCGCGCGCGCATCGCACACGGCTCTCTTGAGGCACCCATCGGCTTCGAAATCGAAATGGGAGAGATGAGCAGCGAAGACAACAACGTCATGACCAATCGGACGTTGCCCAGCCACCAGTGGCCCAACATCACGCCGTTCACCAACACTTCGATGGTATCCTCTCCCGTCCAACCGTGTGCATCCTCTTGCTCGTCCATCGTTCCAACACGACCTCAGACTGCTCGAGTAGCTGCCATAATCGCCTCAGAAGGCCTTCATCGAAATCCTCAGCATGCGAACTTGCAGTAGGAAATCGGGCAGCCTGCTGAATAGCATTCTTGACGACTGGCTCCGTCGCGCCGGCGTCCGCGCGCGCTCCGATCAGCGCGCCGGAGGCCATTGATGCAAATGAAGCATCTCTTCGGGTCCACGACCAAGGACGACTACGACGACACCGTCGAGTCCGTCGACTCCGCCGGCGCCGGCGCCGCGTCGCCCCGGAACCTCTCCTCGGCGGAGCCGCAGCCCGCCGACGCCGACGCCGACGAGGAGAAGACAAAAGAGCGCGGGGGCCTCTTCGGCACGAGCGGCGACGCCGGGGGCAGCTTCTTCGGCGGCGTCTTCGGCGGCGGCGCGCCCAAACCCGGCTCCGCGATCGTCGCGACGCAGAACCCGCTCATGGGCGCGCGCCGCGACGACCTCCGGAAGCTCGACGCCGAATTCGCCGAGCCCTTCGAGACGCGCATCGAGGACACGACGCCGCCGCCGAACTTTCTGAAGATCGGGCTTCACAGCGCGCGGAATTTGGCGGCCGTCGACAGCGAGGTCTTCTCGAAGAAGCGGTGGAGCGACCCGCGCGTCAAGTTCGTCGTGAAGAAGGGGCCGACGCGCAAGGAGGTGAGCGTGCGATCCAAGGTCAAGGAGAAGGACCTGAACCCCAAGTGGAAGCAGGTCTTCGTGCTGGGCATCGACCCCGATCCCGCGGAGGATGCGTGGTCGCTCGACGTCGAGGTCATCGTCGAGGACTACGACCTCACGTCGGGCGCGGACCGCATGGGCTCCTTCACGATGACGCTGAAACCCCACGAGACGGCCGGCGGCGCCTGGAAGGCCCTCGAGGACGCCGACGGGCGCGTCGTGAAGGAGACGAAGAAGCCCGTCCAGGGCGATTTGCTCCTCGTCATGCGCTGGATCTACGACTGGCGCGCGGACCACTGGGAGCCCTTCAAGGAGAAGGAGCAGACCCTCCTACAGACCAAGAAACACCTCCCCAACGAGCTGCGCGTCGGCGTGCACCGCGCGACGGGCCTCGCCGTCATGGACAAGCGGCTCCTCTCCGACGGCGGCTCGTCGGACCCGAAAATCCGCCTCGGCGTCACGGGCGTCGGCGCCGTCACGGACGCGCACCGCGGCGAGACGTCCTACCGGTCCCAGACGCTGCGGCCCGTCTGGAAGGAGACCTTCGACCTCGCGTGCGCGAAGAACGTCGACGCGCCTTCCACGCAAACGCTGGAGGTCATCGTCGAGGACTACGACGCCGTGGGCGGCGGCGACGTCATGGGCAAGATCGTCGTACCGCTCGCCCCGACCTTCGACGACCGCAAGGTCCACCACGACTGGTACGACGTCGGCGCGTCCGGCGCGAAAGGCGAGAAGCCGCAGGGCAAGGTGGAACTGGTCATCAAGTGGTGGTACAACCCGGCCGCGGACCCGAACCACAAGGCGGGCCGCAACGAGACCGTGCTGAGCTACCTGACGCCGGACTTCATCGAGGACGCCGTCGAGTCCGTCATGTCGTCCGCGGAGTCGACGTTCTACACCGCGTCGAACATGCTCATCCTGGCCGCGGATTTGAGCGTCATCGCGACGGAGTGGAAGCGCGCCGTCGAGGCCATGTCCGTCGTCGTGGGCTTCGTGCCCATGGTCAACGACGCCATCGGCGAGGCCAAAACCATCATCTCCATGCTCATCAAGACGCTCTCGGCCGCGACGGGCAACCCCGCGGCGATCGCGAACGTCTGCTACACGGGCTACGACATCGTCAAGAACACGGACTCGCTGCCGAAGATGTACAAGACGTCGCCCAAGTTCGTCGAGGCCATGATGACCATCGAGCACTTCGTCACCACGGTCATGGACGTCATCATCCGCGGCTGGGACCTCTACCAGACGCACTGGGCGAAGATGGAGCAGAAGGAGGCGTCCGAGGCGCGGCAGCGCGCGGCGCGGCGCGGCGAGCAGTACGACTTCGAGCCCTTCCTGGACAGGGATTTGTACGACGACGAGGACCTCAAGCCCAACTTCCTCGAGATCGGCGTCTCTCGCGCGCGCGACCTCGCGATCAAGGACAAGGGCAACTTCCTCTTCAAGGGGTCGAGCGACCCCTTCGTCGTCGTCACGGCGCCGGGCGGCAACGAGGTGCGGTCGACGATCAAGTACAAGAACCTCGACCCCCAGTGGAACGAGATCTTCTCCTTCGAGCTCCACGCGAACGAGTCCGACGACGAGTCCGACGACGACGAGGGCGACCTCAAGAAGCTCATCACCGACGACCCGGACGACGTGAAACTCGAAAAGGAGCCCGTGTGCCTGCGGGTGGCGCTGAAGGACTACGACCTCGCGGGCGACGAGGACGACCTCGGCACGTGCGTCATCGATTTGACGCCGCACGAGGACCACAAGCGGACGAAGCGCTGGTACATGCTCAAGAAGCTGTCCCCGAAGCCAGATCCCGACGACTCCGACTCGGACTCCGGCGACGACTACTGGGA